TCTTTTTCAATTTGTAAGCCTGATGAATTCGATCGTGATTACGATTCCAATGTAATAAATTATAACCATGGAATATTAGTGTTTGAGCCTTTTTTTTATATATATATATATATATATATATATATATATATATATATATATATATATAAAAAAAATATATATATATGTAAGATAACGATATATATTTTTTATATATGAAGTATAGTATTTGGGAAGTTGTATGATAAAGTGAAAAATGTTACTTGTCACGCGTTTCTAAAATTCTGGTGCCCCTCCTGTAATATTTATTTTTGCATATTCAAAATTTTACTGCAAATCACGTGAATGAAGCTTAATAGGCTCACTCTTCTCAGTGGAAGACTCCGGCCTCTCCGAGAAATGTTAAGATATTGTCGATAGTTTTCTTCGACTACAAGACCATTGTTCATCATGAGTAGACTCCACCTGGTCAGACAGTAAACACGGAGTACTACCGTGACGTCTTTTGATGATTGACAGTATGGTATTCGTCAGAAAAAGACAGAATTGAATGCTTCCAGCGAGGAACAACTCCCCTATGACAACGAACCTATCAATTCGATCCAACTCTCGTAACAGTTTTTCGCCAAGACCAACATTCGATAACTATTTATATTAAGTCCTACCAGTCATCTATTTATTCATTGGAGCTTATTTATTATTTAGTGGGGTTTGGATAGGTTTCACGGTATAAATCTGTATTCCTGAATATCTTATTTACATTGTTCGGACTGTTGTCCTCAACTTTATCGCCATATTTAATATCATTATGCAGATGATTTTGCTTTTCGTTTTGTCACGCGGTCTTTTCCATGTCCAGACCCCATGGGATGTTCTTGAAAGCTTCATATATTTTAAATAGTGCAAGAAGTAGTAAAGTCATAATAAAACTCAAGATCGACTTTCTTTCTTCTACCTCTTTAATTAGACATCCCATCACTGTCGATCGGACCCCGAACTGCCGCTAGTCACGATGAAAGGATGTCCCCCTCTGGGAGGTTGCGTGCCTTCAGAGACTATTGGGCCTTAAACTCATACCTGACCTCAAAGGAAATTGGAACATACGAGTCATCGCTAAAGATTCAGGTAAAATGGCCGACTCCCTGTACTGCTCCATTAAGTATATGAATCCACATACTATCCTCTACCTTACAAGAGCCAGATCAGGCCAAGAATGGAGGACTCTTGCCACAGTTCGGTGGGAGCTACACAGACCGCACTTACCAGCCTCGATAGAGTCCAAATATGTCTTTGAGTTCTTGTAGGTGACGAATTATTTTCCATCCTCCAATCTCTCTACATAGGCGGCATGTGGGAAGCTTCTCGCTGAACTATCGCTATGGAAAGTGCTCAGAAGAGCTACATTCCTTGGTTTTGCCAGGCTTAATCTTCACGGCAAGGATCCGATATACCACATACATGGAAGCGAACCACACACATTCTCCCCGTATTCTATCGGTGAGATGTAAGTTTCACTGGAAGAACTTTTTCCCATAAACCGCTGCTCTGTGAAACCGCCTCCCAAGAAGACGTTTCATCGATCACTACCATCTTAACCTGTTCAAGTCTAGAGTTAACCGTTATCTTCCCCTCCTATCCATATAAACTACCCCTTAATGTAACCCTTTACCTTGAGTAGCCCCCGGGCCTTGTACGGAGTGAACCATACTGTAAAAAAATAAAAAAAGGATCAAATTCAAGTTAGATCTTTAAATAATGTTTTATTCCCTAGTTTTTCAGGACGTAGGCGATCATGGCTCACCACAATTTCCTGTCCTTTGTAGCTCTTAATAAAGTTTGTCTTTTTGTTATTTCTCACGAACCATGTTTCACCATCCATTTAGTCAAGTTCACTGAATATGTTTATTTATTGTTTTCCTCTGTCCCTCTTGCCTTCAATCTATCCTGTGAGTATCATATTTTCCAAGCCCACTTTCCTCATGTGTGCGAGAAATTTCTCTTCTTGTGTAATGATATTTGTTATTGTAGCTTTCTCTCCCTCCCCCCCCCTCTCTCTCTCTCTCTCTATATATATATATATATATATATATATATATATATATCATGATTATGTTATTAGGTTGGTGCAAAATAATTTCCTTTTTCTAACATATGATACTATGTGAGAAAACGAAATTATTTTTGCACCAAACTAATAACAAGATGATGACAATTCTTGGGGATTCTTCTAAATTTGTCTGGTTATACCCAATAGATAAATTTGATTCTACATTATCTGGTTAAGTGGGTAAAAAGTAGAAAATTACCCACTGATATTTCAAATTTGATATCTATATCTATATCTATATATAATCAACCGTGATTTTAAGTCGTTTTTTAGTAAACATTCACCACCAAGTTACGAGGCTAACTTACTGAATAAAGCTGTTGTATGGCCGTAAGTCGGTAAGTACAGTTTATGATGATATGTAGGCTAGATAATGGTTGACACTGTACTTCTCGTGAACCACTGCGCTATGGAACAGACTCCCAAGAGGACGTTTCAACGATCACTACAATCTTAACCTGTTCAAGTCTAAGGTTAGCTGTTACCTTCTTCTCTTATCCATAAAAACTGGCCCCTAAAGTAATGCTCTACTTTGAGTGGCCTTGTACAAGGTGAACGTTACTATTAAAAAAAAACAAAAAAAAACAGCCGCTTTTCTCTTTCTTTGTCTCCAGGTTTCTTGCTCACGACTTTTCTTCCCTTACACCTTGGCAAAGAAAACATCTTTTCGCAACAATAAATACACGAAAACCGCAGATCTCGAGATATATCTGGAAAATTATACCTTTGAGCTCTGACCAGCGTTTTACCGGTGATAGAGAAAAATGACGTAATTCCCAGCCAACAATGGTAGAGAAAATTGATTTAATGTCCAGACACTGTTTGAACGGTGGGTAAACACTTGTAACTATTTCTATATCTACTGTGCAACATTACATACCAATTATTTGCGAATTTTAACTCAGGGGCTCAGGCAGAAGGGTTAAAATTATTCAGAAACGCAAGGCTCAAAGGATTAAACGTATAAATAAAAACATACCAAAAATAATATAGAAAATAAGAAAAACACCACCAGCTTACTAAACAAACTCTACTTCTTAGATCGTCACCTTGAATCTTACGTGCCAAAATGATTCTAAGAGCGATACCATCGGAAGCTTAGTTTCTGATGGGACCACCCAGGATGGCAAGGATAAGAGACCCGCCTACCAAAACAAATCTTTTGCTTTGAAATCGGAAAAGAGGAGGTCAAAAGAATAGATTCAACATCTGTCTATATTTCTGAGACTGTAACTATTTATACTATTTACATTATCCGAAACAGTTGTTCTTATCTTTATTGTCACATTGCCGACGTTTCGACCGTTCTACGCTCCGGCCTTCTTCAGGTGATATATATTGGAATTTCGAATGACATGTCCACAGGGTAGTTGTTAGCCGGAAGAAGCGAATTTACTTCTCGCTGATGGAATACGGGGGGAATGTGGATGGTTTGCTACTATGACTGCTGACCTGAGATAGAACAAATAAATTGAGTCAATAGCTTCGTCCACCGCAAGGAAAGGTGGCTCCCTGTGCCGCGTCAGGGATTTTTTCTCGATCTTTCAAATCTACAAATCAACCATTCGCTCTTGCATGGAGTATTGCTGCCATATATGTTCTAGAGCTTCTTCTGTTTGTCTCAATATTCTTGATAAAATCCAGAGACGGATATGCAATGTAATTGGTCCTGATCTGGCATCTCGTCTGCAGTCGCTTTATCACAGACGTGCCGTCGCCTCCCTCTGTCTTTTTTACAAATACTTTCATAGTAATTGGTCCGATGAGCTGCTTTCGCTGGTTCCCAGACTTCATGAATTTAAGCGTTCTACTAGGCTGGCATCTCGCTCTCACCCTTTCACTCTCGAAATTTTTAAATGTAGCCGTCTCTTCTACTCCAAGAGCTTCATGTCTCGCACTTCTCGTCTGTCATTGGCCTTCTCATACTATTTTTGCTTTCTGTTTCCAACAATGCATCACATATCAGATTGGTTTGGTTTATTTTCTTTTATGACATATCAACCTCATTGGATTATTTAATGCCGACACGATGCTCAGGATAGTTTCGTATGAATGGAATCTGTATTGGTAAGAAATCTGTTTGTAGGTCAGGTTGTATTTTCGTAAAGATAGTTTTTGCCAAGAGTCAAATGTATAACTGTTAAAAATACCAGCAATACATTTTTGAAAATGTATTGCTGGTATTTTTAATATAAAAAAGTATTTTTATAATTTCATGGTATTTGGGCAACAGTTTGGGGGTTAACAATTACCCATAGATGGAACCCTAGCAGGTGCTAACACCTCGGGTCAGGGTGGATCTGGGAACAACAGAAATTAAGAAGTGGTTTCCGCTCTCCAAAACTTCCCGTTCAGAGGCCTTGCTGACCGATGTAGTTTCTCATCATACCCAGGACGAGACATATCGGAGATAATAAAGAAACGGAATCTATAGTGCGTCACGATCGAATACGCCATTAAAATGCTAAAAAGCAATGGTGTCTTTGCTAAGTTTGCTAGCAAATAGAACTTTCTTAATTTTCATTCCACGGATATAAATTTGACGTTTATTTTTGTTTATTTATCGTTGTATATTGACGACGGCTGACTAACATCTCCAAGTTTCAAGACGTCGGCGCCCAAACCGCTTTGTCGAGGCGTCTCAGTTGATAGCATTTTCCATTGAACGACCTTCGCATTCCGCCGTTGAGCTGGTCATATGAAACAGGTGCACCAAAGCTATAAACAAATGACTTCACTGCAAAAAGATATCAATTGAATTTCGACCCGACAAGAAGAAAGCGAATGTTAATAGAATGGAGATTATCGGAATTATAAGATCGATCGAGAGGGAACGAAGTTTTGCCCGAGACACATTGGAGAGATCGAATTTACTGAATGGCTTAAACAACAGTTTTGAGAGTCTGGTCAGCAGATACGTACTTACTTACAATCTATCTATCTATCTATCTATCTATCTATCTATCTATCTATGACTGTTCATATCTCTCTATCTATCTATCTATCTATCTATCTATCTATCTATCTATCTATCTATCTATCTCAGTCTGTTCACTATCTATCTATCTATCTATCTACCAACGCCGGTTCGTATCTATCTATCTATCTATGACTGTTCATATCTATCTATCTATCTATCTATCTATCTATCTATCTATCTATCTATCTATCTATCTATGACTGTTCATATCTATCTATGACTGTTCATATCTATCTATCTATCTATCTATCTATCTATCTATCTATCTATCTATCTATCTATCTATCTATCTATCTCAGTGTATACATGTCAGTCTATATATCTAAATATTAATGTTCTAGTCTTTATGTAAGGAACTCAGCAGCAAATAGAATTTTGAAAACTGCACTACCCATGCATTTAGCAATGATTAAAAATTTTCAAATAATAATCTATCTATCTATCTATCTATCTATCTATCTATCTATCTATCTATCTATGTCTGTCTGTCAACAGAGCCGATCTGTCTGAACTAGGACCAAGAAAGCAGCACAACATTCCAGAATTCTTTGTAGTTTGCAAATCAAAGAATGTCAGTTTTCTTTAATAGCGGCCGACGCGTGTCTTTTTACGGGTTTCAGGGCGGCAGGCCGTCATCTTCTTTTGATGATGAGGCTGTGAAGAAGGCTGACTTGGAGAATAAGATGGAAAAAGATGCGAGAGTAAAAACAAGTGATAAGAAGACGGTAGGGAAGGACAAAGAGTGGATGAAGAGGAAGTAGAAGAAAAGTATGGGCGGGGGAAGAGGGTGAAAAGCGAAGGATGAATGAGGATGGATGAAGAATGGATGGCAGGAAGAAGAAGAAGAAGAAGAAGAAGAAGAAGAAGAAGAAGAAGAAGAAGAAGAAGAAGAAGAAAATTACCAAAAAGAAAACAGAAAAGTGGATTACGAAATACTGAAGTGATAAAATACGAAGGAAGATGTTTACTAAAATAGGATTACTATTATTATTATTAGTAGTAGTAGTAACTGTAGTATTAGTAGTAGTAGTAACAAAACATATTATTATTAGTAGTAGTAGTAATATTTGTAACAGAACACTAGAAAAAAGATACGAAAAACTGAGGAGAAAAGATACGTAAAGAGATGATTATGAAGACATGGTTGTTATTATTATTATTATTATTATTATTATTATTATTAGTAGTAGTAGTAGTAGTATTTGTGGTGGTGGTAATGGAAGTAATCGTTGTAGCAGCAATAAAAGAAGAAGAAGAAGAAGAAGAAGAAGAAGAAGAAGAAGAAGAAGAAGGAGGAGGAGGAGAAGGAGAAGGAGAAGGAGGAGGATAAGGAGGAGGAGAAGAAGAAGGAAGAGAAGATTCCGACATTGGCTTATTTAGAAGATGTGATTAAAAACAGTTTTTCACTTCACCTCAAGAAATCTGCTTGTATTATGGATAGGTAGCCGATTACACAGGCACAATATTTTTGTCTGGCCAGGCCACACAAATTGTCCTTTTTTTTCGACAAGTATTTCATACCATCTGTAAATTTAGAATTGAAATTTTTATCGTCTGCTCTTCCTTTTTTGTGAGGAGATCTTACCTCGTGCCTTAACTCAACCACCCCACACACATACACATACACGCACATGTATATACACATGTATATACATATATACGTATGTTAATATGTATTTATGCATGAATTAATTTACACATCATGTTTTCTTTGTACATGTAACTTTACCTAACCAGAACATGTGCTACCAAAATGCATTTTTGCCGAAATGAAAACAAAACATCATTATCCATTGATTTTTAAAATTTGCAAAATATCAGGGAATTATCAAGATTCAACGAAGTCCTCTGAACCAATTCATTAATGAAGAAATTGTATCGTGATTCTGGGATTTTATTAGAAAGCTTTGTGAAAAAAGGCTTTGTTTTTTTTTTGTTTTTTTTTTAGTCAGCTTCACCGCCCCCTTTTCGATATCTCGTTTGTACTTTTTGATAAATTGAGTTTTGTTTGCGAAAATATTTTAACAGTTATATAAATAAATATCACTGAAAATTTCAGTAAAATATTTATGTAAAATCGAGCAAACCTTCCGACAAATAAAATAAAACTCGGAATATAATTATTTTAGAGATTCTGCCTGCATAATTTAATAAAACACATTCTTTTCTTTCAGACTGGACAGGGAAAACATCTACACTGAATATTTAAATTATATATATATATATATATATATATATATATATATATACGCGTATCATGTGACCTTTGAAGACCTAATTTTGAAGCTAATTTTTAGGGGTTCACATCATACACGAGATATATACTGTACTCAAAAAGCACAGTTAAAATAAACATGATTTTGATGAAACTGTTGTTTTACTTAACTGTACCCAATAATAATGCATGTAAAATTCACATATTAATATCATATTA